TTTAATAGATACTTTAATAGATACTTTAATAGATACTTTAATAGATACTTTAATAGATACTTTAATAGATACTTTTTTGGGGGGATTTGACTAACCAACTTTAGCATGACATAAATAAGCATTGAGTTCAGAAAATCAACTTTTTGGGAAAAATTTTCAACTCTTGCATTTATTTATTTCGTTAATTTTATGAAAAAGCTTGAAGCATTCTTAACTGTTAAAACTTTTCCTTAAACTATTCATGATGGGGTTAAAGAGAAAAAAGTATCGGCACTTGTTTCACAAATTAGCTTTGTCTAAAAATTGAGCATTTTTTTCTAAACTTTTATTCATGATAGTTTAACTTATTCTTTATATCAATCTAAACCTTGTTTCGTAAGAAACGTACCCACTTCATTTCTTAAACCTGTTTTAATGTAAAGTAAATATATATTTTGTGTATCATATTATTTTTCAACAAATTTCCTTATTTCACTATGCAGGGTTTTTTTAAACTGTACGAATCGTATCGAATGATCAATTTTTTGAAACTGAAATAAATATATAAAAATGAAATAAATATATGAATATATGAAACTGAAATAAATATATAAAAATGCCAAAATTTAAAAATCTTTACGATTCTTGAAATATATTTGTTTATAAGTGGAATTTAGAAGGACCTCCCCCCCAGGGTTGAGAAGGATGAGTATTGAGTAGTGTAGGGATTAAAGAAGATTTAGTTTTGGGCAGACATGTTGGTTCTTAAATCCAGTATATTCAATTGTACTAGACATAGTGGCGTCCATATTTCTTTTTATTTAGTAGATTCTACTAGACATAGTGGCGTCCATATTTCTTTTTATTTAGCAGATTCACCTAGACATAGTGGCGTCCATATTTATTTTTATTTAGTAGATTCTACAGACATAGTGGCGTCCATATTTATTTTTATTTAGTAGATTCTACTTGACATAGTGGCGTCCATATTTATTTTTATTTAGTAGATTCTACAGACATAGTGACGTCCATATTTTTTTTTATTTAGTAGATTCTACTTGACATAGTGGCGTCCATATTTCTTTTTATTTAGTAGATTCTACTAGACATAGTGGTGTCCATATTTCTTTTTATTTAGTAGATTCTACTAGACATAGTGGCGTCCATATCTATTTTTATTTAGTAGATTCTACAGACATAGTGACGTCCATATTTTTTTTATTTAGTAGATTCTACTTGACATCGTGGCGTCCATATTTCTTTTTATTTAGTAGATTCTACTAGACATAGTGGTGTCCATATTTCTTTTTATTTAGTAGATTCACCTAGACATAGTGGCGTCCATATTTATTTTTATTTAGTAGATTCTACTAGACATAGTGACGTCCATATTTATTTTTATTTTGTAGATTTTACTAGACATAGTGGCGTCCATATTTCTTTATTTAGTAGATTTTACTAGACATAGTGGCGTTCATATTTCTTTATTTAGTAGATTCTACTAGACTTAGTGTTGTTCATATTTATTTATTTAGTAGATTCTACTAGACATAGTGGCGTCCATATTTATTTTTATTTTGTAGATTCTACTAGACATGGTGGCGTCCATATTTCTTTATTTAGTAGAATCTACTAGACATAGTGGCGTCCATATTTATTTATTTTGTAGATTCTACTAGACATAGTGGCGTCTATATTTATTTAGTTTGTTGATTCTACTAGACATAGTGGTGTCCATATTTCTTTATTTAGTAGATTCTACTAGACATAGTGGCGTCCATATTTCTTAATTTAGTAGATTCTACTTAACATAGTGGCGTTCATATTTCTTAATTTAGTAGATTCTACTTAACATAGTGGCGTGCATATTTCTTTATTTTGTAGATTCTACTAGACATAGTGGCGTCCATATTTATTTATTTTGTAGATTCTACTAAACATAGTAGCGTTCATATTTCTTTCCATAGTAGAATCTACTAGACATAGTGGCGTCCATATTTCTTTTTATTCAGTAGATTCAACTAAACATAGTAGCGTCCATATTTCTTTATTTAGTAGATTCTACTAGACATAGTAGCGTCCATATTTCTTCATTTTGTAGATTTTACTAGAAATATTGGCGTCCATATTTCTTTTTATCGAGTAGATTCTACTAGACATAGTGGCGTCCATATTTATTTTATCGAGTAGATATGGATGTCCATAGTACAATTATTTTCGCTGGAAATATTTATAAATCTTTTAACAAAGTTGGTTCAAGGATGAGGATTTGAAAAGTGTATTGTTTAAGTTACAATGTAACAATATCGTGGCGTCGTTAAACATTTTTGCTTTTGACATCTTAAAGCAAGTTAAACAAATAGCTCTGTATTTGCATAAATATTTATTCATGTTTTATTTATTTAGCAATTTGTTGTCTTCAACAAATCTACGAAGTAAATAGTAAACATGGCGTAATATTATAAATATATAAAATCCACGAGAAATCAGATAAAAAACTGCGGGAGTTCAGGTGTACAGAGAATAGTTTAGAACTTTATTCTGATTAGGTGGGATCACAGATTACATGAATAGCTAAACGGATTCTAAAATCAATTACTATCTCTCTGAATCTATAATGAGTGAAGTCGTATGTTTAAAAATAGAAAATAACTGAATAGATACTTTTCATTCCTGACATCTCAATAATCCTGACTCTATGATAATCAGTTCTTAATCCCTATCATCCAATGTGCCCCCATACCCCGTATACCC